AAAATCACCGGTTTAATAATTTAATTAATATTTACCCACCAAATAATCTATGTATTAATAAAATTTATAATGCTTGATGTTTTTTTTTTAGTTTGTCTGTGTTAGCTAATCTTTTGAATAAACAAAGTATATTATTTTATTTCTGAAAAGTTCACTGAACGATAACAAGTAAATATACGTACCTGTCAGCCTACAGCAATGTTGATTTTGGAATAAAATGCTCGAACTGAGTACATTTCGTATAAAAAAATATAAAACGATTTAACTAAAGTATATGAATAAATATTCGTTAATAAAAGTTAGTTTGTTAAATAAATTTTATGGTCGTACCAATTTTGGATGCGATTGATTGAAACAATGATCAATTCCCGTAGTAAATAGTATACAGAGTGTCCCACGGTGACGAGACATTAGACATATTTCAGACAACTTCGATTTTAATTTTGAAAATTTGGGCAATAGTGTTTTAGGGCATGCCTTTCCCAACTAAAATAATGGCGTCCACCTAACGTATTCTTCGTTATTTTAAATGGTACACCCAATATATTATTGAAATTTTGGATTCTACGTCAATTTCTAGGTGAACTTTCGTAAAGGTTTCCTTATCTCAAAGTTATCCGTTTTTTATATATTTAATTTTTTTCAAAAAACATTAAAAAAGCACTGCCCAATTCAAAAAGTTGTGTATTTTACAATAATACAGTTAGAGCGATAAAAGTTATAGGGAACATACCCAAACCTCTAAGTTTCCCTGCCATAGAATGACTTAGTTTCATACAGGGTGGTAGAAATTTAATGCCGAATTTAGCCACATTTAAACCATCTTAACTTATTTTTTTTTAATGGAACACCATTTTTGCGCGACCTGATGAACAATTGTATTCTCTTTCGAGTGGTATAATGCCGACATTCTAAATTTATTATTTATTCATGGAGAGTACCATGCTTTTTTATCGTTATTCTAGGCAAAATCTCTTAAGGCGTCAAGTTTATGGTCTACATATTCCATGTTGAAAAGTAGGTACTATAATAATAAACGAAAATATGGATATATCACAATATAAAAAGCTACTTGCCTTTTATAATNATTCATGGAGAGTACCATGCTTTTTTATCGTTATTCTAGGCAAAATCTCTTAAGGCGTCAAGTTTATGGTCTACATATTCCATGTTGAAAAGTAGGTACTATAAAAATAAACGAAAATATGGATATATCTCAATATAAAAAGCTACTTGCCTTTTAAAATGTGAATATGACACGTACAAAGCAAAAAAATCAAAAGTTTTGACTATGGAAAACGTTACTATATTTTAAAAAGAGGCTCCAGACGATAAGTTCTTATTAATGAAAGTAGTACTAATATTTGTTTAAATGGAGCATGCCGACGTGCAGAATTGTACAATTTAACTGTTAAAGACATAGAAGACATTGGGAATTTAGGTTATAACTTTACATGATACCAAAAACAAAAAGAAACGTTATTTGCCGTAGAATCAGAGTGCAACCAACGTATATGAAATTTATCATATTTACAATTGAGACCCAAACAAGTGAAACACAATAGATTTTTTCTATACAAGGTGGCCACATGAAAACGAAACAGAGTCATTTACAGGAACTGCGTCAAGATTGTAGAAAAACACTCAGACCCGTCGATTTTAGTTTAAAGGGGGACATTCTTTGCTGCTATTTTTGACTCCGCCACTTTCACCCCAAGAAGAGTAAGCATCACCCCAAAATATTTAAATGGCATTGGGGGTTGAGTAGTATTTCTTTTGAAAGCTCTTCAATTCTCTTTACAACAGACTTTAAATTTTATAATTCCGCCCAATACTTTGAAAATAATTTACATTTTAAAGTTTAAATTATGTTTAATTGCTTACTTACTACTTAGTTGATTAAAAGTTCAAACTGATGACCGCCCGCTTCCATACAAGAACAAAGAGTTTGTTCGAGACGTTCGCGCACATTGCGAAGCATTCCCGGAGTGATTCGACGGCATTCGTCGACGATTCTTTGACGCAAATCTTCCAGCGACGCTGGCTGTGTTTTATAGATTTTACTTTTTAGGTATCCCCATAAAAAGAAATCAAGGGGTGATAAATCCGGTGATCGTGGAGGCCACTCAATGCTGCCTCTTCTCCCAACCCAATTGCGTAGAAAATGTTGGTCCAAATGCTGACGGACAATTAAGGCATAATGCGAAGGAGCACCGTTCTGTTGAAAAAACAGATTATCTTCATCATACTCTGGAAGATTTTCAATAATATCAGTAAAGGCAGGGTCAATAGGGTCTTCCAGTAATTGCAAATACATTTGGCAAGTCAAATTATCAGGTAGACAAAAAGCACCCACCAGCCAGTCATCGAAAATTCCTGTCATTACATTTAATTTTTCCGGTTGTGTGCATGCACCTCGTGAAAAACTTGAATCGGGCCAATAGCGGCAATTATGACGATTTACCGTCCCGTTCAAGAAAAAACTGCATTCATCAAAAAAACAAATGTTAAAAGGAACTGTGGATCGTTCCCTGCTCGCTCACTCATTATTTCGCAATATTGCAAACGGCAGCCATAATCATCCTCATGGAGTTCCTGGACTAAATGTATTTTATATGGATGGAATTTATTCTTCTTCAAAATGGTTTGTATGCTAGTTCGATTGATCCCAGACACAGATGCCAGCTGCCTCGTACTTAATGTAGGATCAAGATGAACTTGTCCCAAAACTGCAACTTCACTAGCTTCATTAACTATAGGTTTTTCAATTTCTCGTTTTTTATTAGCTACGTTCCCTGTCTCTTGAAATTTTTTTACTAACTCTAGAACATACTTCCTCCTGACATGTCCATCTTGATGTTGTTCATTAAATAGATGAGCTGTTTTATTCGCACATTTATTGTTCAAAATGTAAAGCGAAATGATATCTACCCTTTCCGCAATGAAATAAACCATAGTGTTTAATTTTCAAAAACACAATTAAATAAACTACCAACCAACGCTTCCAAATAATACTAGAAAATAATTTGGAATCCACTAGTTTTACGTTCATTGTGTGTATAGCATTCATTTTTGTTTTTTACAATCGTGTTTTTTTACAAAAGTGATAACAAATCGCCAAAAACCAATGTAACGCAAGAAATACTAAACTGACACCATTGGCGTACTTAACTCGAATGACTGACATTTTTAGCGTTACTAATTATTGTTTGTACATAAGTTTCAACTTTAAAATCAAAATTCTTAATAAGTATTGGGCGGAATTATAAAAATTAAAGTCTGTTGTAAAGAGAATTGTAAGAGCTTTCAAAAGAAATATTACTCAACCCCCAATACCATTTAAATATTTTGGGGTGATTCACCCCTTGCTTGGGGGGGAAAGTGGCGGAGTCAAAAATACCAGCAAAGAATGTCCCCCTTTAATCTAAAATCGGCGGGTCTGAGCGTTTTTCTACAGTCTTGACGCAGTTCCTGAAAATGTCTCTGTTTCGTTTTCATTTCGCCACCCTGTACTATTATCACGGTAAGTACACAATACAACCAGTTGGCATCAACAGTTTTGCAAAAATTCCCCAAAGAGTTACAGAATACTTAAAACTCCCAGATGTATCAAGTTTCACTGGTCATTGCTTGAGGAGGACATCTGCCACCTTCCTCGCTGACAGTGGATGCCAGTCATCTAGTGTGACTGAAAGGTATATCGAGGAAAGCATCGTTAATAAGTTGAAAATTTCAAAAAGTATATTTCCTCAACAAGAACCAGATCATTCAGAGACGCAGACAGAGAATTGTAATAGTTTTCAGGAAGAACAAGTAGAAGAATAAATTTCGTATTGTTAACTTTTCAAATTTGAATAATTGTACTTTTAATATATATATAACAATGTTTCCAATATTTAAATAAACAATTTACTGTCAAACTGTTTTTTATTAACAGTGACACTATACAGTTAAGTGTCATTTGCTATGGTAAAGTGCCACTNATTAAATAAACTACCAACCAACGCTTCCAAATAATACTAGAAAATAATTTGGAATCCACTAATTTTACGTTCATTCTGTGTGTGTGTGTAGCATTCATTTCTGTTTTTATAATTGTGTTTTTTTTAGGAAAGTGATAATAAATCGCCAAAAAACAATGTAACGCAAGCAATACTAAATTTATACCACTGGTGTGCTTAACTCGAATGACTGACATTTTTACCGTTACTAATTATTGTTTGTACATAGGTTTCAACTTTAAAATCAAAATTCTTAATAAGTATTGGGCGGAATTATAAAAATTAAAGTCTGTTGTAAAAATAATTGTAACAGCTTTCAAAAGAAATATTACTCAACCCCCAATACCATTTAAATATTTTGGGGCGATTCACCCCTTGCTTGAGGGTGAAAGTGGCGGAGTCAAAAATACCAGCAAAGAATGTCCCCCTTTAATCTAAAATCGACGGGTCTGAGCGTTTTTCTGCAATCTTGACGCAGTTCCTGAAAATGGCNGTTGAAAATTTCAAAAAGTATATTTCCTCAACAAGAACCAGATCATTCAGAGACGCAGACAGAGAATTGTAATAGTTTTCAGGAAGAACAAGTAGAAGAATAAATTTCGTATTGTTAACTTTTCAAATTTGAATAATTGTACTTTTAATATATATATAACAATGTTTCCAATATTTAAATAAACAATTTACTGTCAAACTGTTTTTTATTAACAGTGACACTATACAGTTAAGTGTCATTTGCTATGGTAAAGTGCCACTTTAGTAAACGATTTTGAATTTTAATGCAACGTATTGGTTATACCAAGTAGTATCGGATTGCATCTGACCTTTCTCGAACCTATCTGACGCCCTGATGAATGCCAGGATTTTGATCCATGGCAGGTCTTTCACCTCATCCCTTTTTATTGCAAGTCTGAATAATTCAGTGGTATACAAATTTAGAACATTTCTTCTAACTTCTACGCTAAGGTTTTTTTATTTTCAAAGAATCAATATTTTTTCCAGTACGATGTACGGCTTGGGATCTTTCCTGTGGAACACTTTAGGTGTGCTGAGAGCTTTACTAGCCGTAGTCTACGCCTACTTCAAATGGACCTATCAGTATTGGAAAAGGAAGAACGTGCCTTACTTCGAACCCACAATACCCACCGGGAACATGGGCAATCCCTTCACAGTGATCGTAAACGATAGCTTTAATGAGACGTACAGAAAAGCGAAAGCTAAAGGTGCGTAATATCGTAGTGCAATTAACAGTTTAGAGAATGAGAGTATTATCGTAGAGATATAACCTAACTATGAAAGTATGATTTGATTGGCATTACGCGAAATAATCGTTACTTTTAACTTAACGTTTGTGTTTTGATTAGGTTGGAAATATTGTGGACTATATTTGCTACTCACCCCGTCCCTACTGGTAGTGGACATAGACTTGATAAAAAACATCTTAACGAAGGATTTTCAACACTTTATGGACAGGGGGACATATACGAACGAAAGAGACGATCCTATAGGTAAGACAGAGCACTAGTAAGATTTGTTTATTTTTTATTGGTAAACCCATATATTTAACGCCAAAGAATACGAAGTTTTAGGCAATTACTGTTTATGTAAATGACAAAAGTGGCCTATTAAAAGGTTCCCTAAAAATTACAATAATTACACAGTTAATAATTAAAAAAAGAGACACAAGCCTAATACTCAAATTACAATTTTTTAAATATTCATTCAATTTCTGTGGTACTTTTCAATCCGCCATAAGGGGCCCGACATTTTGGAGTTAAGAATTTCCGAATTATCTTTGAAAACCTCCAAGAAACAAATTTCAGCCATATTCTGTAAATTTTGAATGTTTGTCCAATTTTTACATTCGCCATATTAAATCCGCCACTTATTCGGAAATTTTCGGATGCGGACTTCAGATTCGCAATCAGCGACCACAAAAACCCGCGGTAACAAAGTTCAGGCAAATATATTGAATAGAAAAATGTGTGACTTACAAGGATAACTGGGATCCTAGTCTGTAGGTGTCCAAATGTCCAATCAATTCATATAAATATTCACGAATATACAGAGAGATCGAGAATGATTGACCGGATTCTGAACGTACCCTGTCTCAATTACTAACAAAACCGATTTCCGTTTGCTAAAATTACTTTTTTTTCCGTGCAATTTCATTGTGTTCTGTGGCGATTTCACAATTTGACGTTCTGTTCATTGGCGCACGGATTTTTTGGCTTGAATATTATTTTGTAGATTTTGTTGTTACCTGATATATTTTGCGACATTATAAAACAGTATTTTTCAATACTACAGTTAGAGTAGGTGGATATTATACGTGAGTAATTAATTTATTGCGTATGTTGTTCTCTAACCTAATCGGTTTTTTAATTTAGGTTAACATGGCATTTTCATTAGAACATGATAAATTTCTTCTGGAGGCCTATTTTCGTAGTGGACAAAACAATGGTAATGGTTGGAAATATTCGATGAATTCGTGTCATTTACAATTTCATAAACAATTTCCAAATGATGAAATTGATTATGAAATTTTTTCGAGNCCGGACCTGTTTTATGGCCTCCAAGATCGCCTGATCTGAACCCTCTAGATTTCTTTGTTTGGGGATATTTGAAGACATTAGTGTATGGTACTCCTGTAAATAGCCTGGAAGAGCTGCAGCTACGGATTAATCAAAAGTGTCAAGAAATCCAAACCAAGGAGGGTGTTTTCGAAAGAGTTCGAATATCGTTGAGACGAAGATGTCGTGCCTGCTTGGAAATGGACGGAGGGCACTTTGAACATCTTCTGTAACTTTGTTTTTTGTTTGTTAAAAGCTTCCTTTGTCGGTTTATTCCTAATAAAATAAAATGTTTGAAAAACGAATAGTGGTCCATATCTCCGCAACCGTTACTTTGCGGACCCATGTTTATTAAGACTTTTCTGCTTATTTTGGTTCATACTATTACCTCCTGAAATATTTTACACTCTTTTTTTAACACCCTGTATTTAATGCCAAAGATTACGGAGTTTTCAGGAGAAATATGAGGCAATTACTGTTTATGTAAGTGACAAAAGTGGCCTCTAAAAATTACAATAATTAGAAAAAGAGTGCATATTCTTTGTTTCTCAATTATAGACATTTGCCCAATTATACTCAAATGACAATTTTTTAAACATTCATAATGCATTTCTCTGGGTGGTAAATATCAGTTTCTATGGTACTTTTCAATTCGCCATAACGGGCCTGACATTTTGGATTTAAGAATTTCCGAATTATTATTCTGCAAATTTTGAATGCTTGTCAAATTTTTACATTCGTTATATTAAATCCGCCACTTATTCGGATGCCGACTTCAGATTCGTAATCAGCGACCACAAAAACCCGCGGTAACAAAGTTCAGGCAAAAATATTTAATAGAAAAATGTGTGACTTACAAAGATAACTGGGATCCTAGTCTGTAGGTGTCCAAATGTCCAATCAATTCATATAAATATTCACGACATAGGCCAGGAAAAAGAGCTGGGAATGACCATTTCGCGACTTTTTGTTTATCACTATAGTTGCTAAATATTATGTACAATAACATATTAGTTTCTACAGTCACAAAAATGGGGGGAAGATTTTTTACAGGCTGATTAATTGTATAATTTTTATGTAAATTCAAGTTTTTCGCTTATAATTTTTTTCCGTTCATTTCTACGAGAAAACAGTAAAGTACTTTTTTTTCATCTTCAAAAGATCTACAAAACTCGAGCGTCAAAAAATATTGATTAGATTAAAAGTTATAAACAGAGGAAATTTATTTATGACTTCTGAATTAAACATTTATAAACTGCGTTATTATTATCAGAACGTTTTGGCATCGCATCCTCTCATTCTTTATCACTGTCTAATAACTCGCGCGAAATCTGGAATCGGTAAGTTGAATAGTTTACTAGTTATGGCCTTAAACAAATTAACTAATTATTAGTCTGGACGGATATTTTTCATTGTAGATTTCATAATAATACATTGAAATCTATCATTTTTTTTTAAATTTCAAATTTGCAGTTTTTTTATTTTTTAACCTTAGTTGCAAAATTAAATATACGACTCACGCGCGTGATATAGTTATATACAGGATGGTCCCGAGGTAATGGGCCAAAAATTCATGGGTAGATTCCCGAAGCAAAAATATTGCGATTTAGCCGAACTTACCTTAGACCAAAAGTTGATATTTAAAGAGATACAAAGTGTTAAATGTAAAATATTATTTTAGTTTATTTCCATTTATTTCTTAATAAATGCAAATATCTACACAAAATTTTGGGGTTTGGGGTCCTTTGGATAGAGGAATTGAAATTTGTTCACATTTTGGTTATAGTTTATAGAGGGCGCCAGTTGCCGTAGTTTGAGGGAGTTGGAAACGACATAACTTTTTTGAACTTTAAGGTATCTCATCTTTGGTATCAAATTCTTATTTTCCAACTTTTTTTACACAAAAAAAGTAGACTTTATGAAAGTAGCCGTTTCCGAGATATTTGGCGTTGAAACTTCCAATGCTAATAGTTGAAATAATTAAAATAATTTAGAAATGTCAAAAACAAGGGTTTATTTAGAATTAAATATTGTAATAATAAATACTAAAATAGTAAACATTAATAAAAAATATGCCTTTTTGACAATAAATGCTCAAAATATCCACCTCCAACTTCAATACATTTATCAACACGTTTATTAAAAGATTGTCTTATTTTAAAGTATAAATCCTTAATGCGAAATAACTTTGCAGCATTTAAAACCTGCTACTAAAGTTCTTCTCAAGTGTTTATAGTTTCTCCATAAACAACTGATTTCATGTAACTCCAAAAACAAAAATCTCGGCATTCTATATCACATTTNGTAATAATAAATACTAAAATAGTAAACATTAATAAAAAATATGCCTTTTTGACAATAAATGCTCAAAATATCCACCTCCAACTTCAATACATTTATCAACACGTTTATTAAAAGATTGTCTTATTTTAAAGTATAAATCCTTAATGCGAAATAACTTTGCAGCATTTAAAACCTGCTACTAAAGTTCTTCTCAAGTGTTTATAGTTTCTCCATAAACAACTGATTTCATGTAACTCCAAAAACAAAAATCTCGGCATTCTATCTCACATTTACGTATACGAGTATACAATTTAAATTGTAAGCTAAGATGTAATTTTAATTAGGTACGAATAATACTTAATAGAAATTAGCATACAAATGACAGCAATAAGATAAGTGGAAGACGTCAATTATTTGATTTTCGTCCAAATCCTACTTAAGAAACTTTACCGCTAAATTAATAATACCTGTAGGTACTTAATTGTAATTTAATGCAACACCATTGGAAGTTTCAAAGCCAAATATCTCGGAAACGGTGCGAGATAGCTACTTTAATAAAGTATACCTTTTTTGTGTAAAAAAAGTTGAAAAATAAGAATTTGTTACCAAAGATGAGATACCTTCAAGTACAAAAAAGTTATGTCGATTTCAACACATTCAATCTACTGCAGCTAGCGCCCTCTATGAACTTTAACCAAAATGTGAAGAGATTTCAATTACTCTACTCAAAGAAGTCCAATCGCAAAAATTTTGTGAGGATATTTGCATTTGTTAAGGAATAAATTAAAAAAAAAACTGAAATAATATTTTACATTTAACAGCCTGTATCTCTTTAACTATCAACTTTTGGACTAAGGTAAGTTCGGCTAAATCGCAATATTTTTACTTCGGGAATCTACCCATGAATTTTGACCCATTCGAAAGTCATAAATAAACTTCTTCTGTTTATAACTTTTGATCTAATCAATATTTTTTTACGCTCGATAGCTACTTTTGTAGGTCTTTTGAAGACAAAAAAAAGTACCTTACTGTTTTCTCGTAGAAATAAACGGAAAAAAGTTATAAGCGAAAAACGTGAATTTATGTAAAAATTATACAACTAGCCTGTAAATCTTCCCCCCATTTTTATGACTGTGGAAACCCATATGTTATTGTACATAATATTTATCATCTATAGTGATAAATTCAGCTTATTAGGATAAGAGCCTTTGGTAGTTCTTTCCTTATTTAACGCTTTTGCTTGTCTTCAAAAGATCTGTGTAGTGGATTTACCTTTTTATCTCTAACTTTATATTCTCTTAGTAGTTCTTCATCATATCCACGTTCTATTTACCCTGATACAGTTTTTCCATTTCCTTTACGTTGTGTTCACGTTGCCCTTCCTTATAGTTAACGGAGAACTAATCCTCATGAATGTTCATAAAATGCAATTTGAGGTTTATTAAACATTCAATTTTTCTGAAATTTTCCGTCATTTCTGATACTACAGTTTTATAATTGTGACTTGTGTGAATACCAAAAAAGTTTTCTGTTACACTTTTGAGGCTTTGTCATGCAGTCTTCTCAGTTTCATTCACATTCAGTTCAAAATCTTTTTTCTTTCAGTTTAACACAGCCGACTTCGAAATAGCCATGACATTCACTTCCTCCAT